GAGATAGATATGCGTTTTGAGGTTTTATGCCCAATTAAAAGATTATTCTAACACCCACAGCTCTTCAAATGAGCAAAATTGAATATTCCTACGAAATTCTAAAGTGTAGATCACTCAGTTATATGCCATGCGTGATACACGCTTAGGCGATCATGTATCTTCCGATACATGACTGACGAGGCAGATTTTTTTCCCGCAGTATGTTGCCATTTTTTCTCCGGTACACCAGTTGCCACCCAAAGAAACTGTCCTGCTATTTACCCATAGCTGAAGAGAGAAGGAGATTCATACCTTTCCAATGGGTATTAGCACGTAAGTGAATGTAACTGATCTAACTGGAATTCAAACTCGGCTCTCCGATTTCTAAATCGGACCCGCTATCCATTGCCTTCGTGTAGATAGAATATCTTTAAAATCATCATTTAAAACATTATTTTAAGATTTTTCCTGAGACGCATTAACCAGACAGTAATACTTGTAAAAGAAAGAATTCAGCCACCAATAAAGCCAGAAATATTTAGAGATGTATGATTATTTATTATTATAATTTAAGTTTGGCACAAGGCTGAATTATTCAGTGAAAGTTGGGGATAGAATGCTAGCGTTTCATTATGTAGTGAAGGTATACATCAAGAGTCGGCAACTCATTCGACCCCACGGGCCGGATCGTGTTATAATGACAGGTCGCGGGCCGGACGAATGCCATTAATGAAAAATTAAGGAAAATTACATATGCAGACCCCTGTCAACCTAACTATTTAAAACCATAATGAAAATAAACATTGAGAAACCAGAAAAACAAAAGAAAATCTAAAATTAAAAAAACGCCTAACAAAAATTACTTTTTCTCATGGAACGTCAAAATACTTCAAAGTGAAAAAAATCAACCGAAGTGAAATGGATGAAATTATGACGTGTAGGTTTGAAACTGTTATTGAAAATTGTTCCACAAACGAAACCACACACACACACACACACACACACACACACACACACACACACACACACACACACACACCACATATCAAACAAAAACGAAGCACATATACCCATACATACGAGTACAAATAGTTACAAACATATACACTTACGTACGTACACATGCGGTATCATCCACACATTCATGAGGCATGTATGTATAATGCGCGTATGTTTAACTGTCTTCAGATTTCTGCTACCTCGCATGTCAGTCCCTCCCTGGCCTCTTTCACTTTATCGTTCCTTTCGTTTCTGTTATCTTTTAATGTAGCCAAGGGTCATAACAAATATGTATCCATTATTTGACATTAAACGTAGGCAACGCAACTTGGTAAAATAAGTCCCATGAAAGATAACTGGCAGATAGTCTAATTCGAAAGCCTCGTCTCTCATGTTGAAAATAGAGTCATTGGTAATCAGGCTCGCGGGCCGGTCAGCATGCCTTCGTGGGCCGTAGGTTGCCGACCCTTGGTATACATGCTTCGATAATCAGAATTCAAAATCCTATCCTTTAACTAGACTCGAACATCTACCATTTGGCATCCCAGTCAACAAGTAAAACGAGCAACATACAAGCTCTCCTGAATGCATAAATTATTTCAATCACTATTTTTCACACAATACTTTGTTTTATTATGTGCTTTCGTTTACAAGGTTTGCCAGATATTAATCACTCTTTCATGAAATATGTGTTTGACTAGTGTCAAGAGTTTCTTTTGTATGTTTCTATGTTTTATTAATGGCCTGAAACCAGCACAGTTACGAGGAATTCTTCTTTTTTTTTTCAGGATTGAGATTATTTCTGACAGATGCATGCCGAGGTCAGCAAAGGCCACACTTGTCACATTCGATGATTTATAAAATGAAAAAATAAAATCGAGCGGTTTCTGCACTACATAATTTTTCTCCGTTCTCCGGGAAAATTTATTAAAACTAAACACAAAGCCAGTTTTGTCGATGTGAAACTCTAAAATAAATAAACAAGAATTAGAAAATAGGACGCCCGCGTAAAATAATTCGCACGTCTAAAATCCTTCTCCCAACACACACACATACACACACACACACAAAAAGAATCAGACATCCAAAATGATCTATTGGAATTAAGAAAAACAAAACCGCAGATATTTTGATACTACCTGTACTTTAGGTTTAATCAGAAAAAGAGAAGAAATTGATACAATCAAGATAAAATATAATTTATCGTATTTGACGGCGTATAAGACGCACTTTTTTTACTAAAAATATCTTTTAAAATTCCCCTGCGTCTTATATACCACATGTAAGTTTAAAATTCGCCGAAATAGTCGGTCAAAATTAGCTACCTGGCAACTCCTATTAGCTTAGAATTTAGTGTAACTTTTATATACCTATTGTCATTATTTAAAAGGCTATTATGCAGATTAAAAGTGTTATCATTGATAATATTCATTATATTAATTTTATCACGTATAATATTAGTACTTTGTTTCACTAAAATTATATACAATAATTTCAAATTATATATTTGCAAAATATATTTGTTTTATTAATATTTTTTCTTGCAATAACTCCCGGTTGCATTGGTATACATACAATCAGAATTTTTATATCCTAATTATTCCAATAATACGTTTACAAGACGCTGGTTTTACAGATCATATAAAAGAAAATGTTTGACTGAATTTTAATGGTTACTATACTGTTTTGCTCATTTGTAATAATTGCTTGATTTTTTTTCTTTTGTTTTCTTACCTTTGGATATAATAACTTCTTTATAGGATCGTGTTCTTTTTTTTCCTATTATTTTTTGTTTAATTGTAATCATGACTTGTTTAACCAAAATAAAACCTTATAAATATAGCCTAGGCTGTACCATTTACTATTAATTTTACTAATTTTACTAATTACTAATTTTTGCTTGATTTACCCTATTGAAATTGGTGTCCGTCTTATGCACCCGTGCGTCTTATATGTCGTCAAATACGGTAAATAAAATATTTTTGTGATAGGGTGTATCGTCAGTGGTAGTACCTTTGCCGTGAAGCGGTCGACCCTGTTTTGCTCAGGTGAACTGGGGTGTGGAACTGTACTGGTCCACGGTCTACATCAAACTCTCACACATGGGAGCCAAGAAATCGCATGGACACTGCGATGATCATACCCCAGTCAATCACATTAACTTGACGGCTAGTCTGTGTGAGGATAGTTGGAAGGGTTTCCCGACCAGTGAAGGGAAACGCTCTCACCAACCTGTGCCAACCGCCCATAAGCCAGTCACCAGCCTGGGCGTAGAAGCTGTGGTTAACGGCTTTAACAGTGGGAACAAGAACTTCCGAGAGGAGGGACGAGTTAACGACAGCATCTCCCGGAGCAAAAGGAACCAGCAAACCATTGAACTACTCTTCCTTGTATATAACCATGAACCGCGTTTACAACAGAAATTGCGCTGGATAAATGAATGATAGATTTCCTATAACACATGTGCAGTTAATGTAACAGTCATCGTTTCAAAAGAAGAATTTGACAATCCGATTTCGTCTTCTTGACGAGCTCATTACACCCAATGTTTTAATCATTTCAACCCAAGCAAGGAAATATAGTCACTAAGACGCAAGTAGTTACAGAGTCTAAAATAATATGTGAACAAGAAAAATATCATTAAGCAGAGGTAACAATAAAAGTCCACTAAAAAAGAAGACAGAAGATAACAATAGACATTGCATTTTAATTGTTTAATATCAAAGTTCACTAGAAACCAAGAAGAAGGAACAGAAATTCAAAATGGCGACGTGTGAGAGAAGAAACTGTTAGCAAAGTACTTTTACATCTAGCATATTGGAATGTAAAACAATAAAAACAAGCTGCCAATCAAGTACTGCTTTTAAATTCGTAAAGTTGAGGTACCAAAGTTGAAAGCTTAGAACAATTACAATGAAAATAATTATAGAAAGAGCACATGAAGTGTACATTAAGGCGGTAGAAAAGCGATTGAAAAAATCTGAAAATATTCTTAGGAAATACATAAAAAAAAATTATCTCCCCGCGCTATGGATTAAATAGAAACGTGGACTGGCTTCCCCAACATTAGGTAGCAACTAATCTAGGAGAAGATAAAACACTGAATTAAAAAAAAAAAAAAACGTGAGAAGGTTTGGGCATCATCACGTGATCTTACCGAGACACACACGCTACTGCTGCTACTACGGTAACAGAATTGCTCTTTTTAACATTATATGAATTGTTTAGACAAGTAAGACCGTTGGGAATCTTGAAAATTAAGATGGCCCATTATCACAAACCTCTGGCCTTCTCTCACCTATTGCCTGTATTTTATCATTCTCTAACTTAACCCTTCCAAGTTTTATATTACCATATTTTCGTTTGAATGTTACACATACACTTAGATTTCTATGCGAAAATGTAATAATAATAATAATAATAAAAACGGTCAAGATTTTCGGTTGCGTCCTCTATGTTACCTTTCTGATTCTCTATCTCTCCCCATATTGAATTTGACTCTATAGCAATGTTGGTATCTTTTCATTCCTACCTGCTTTTCGTGATATCAAGCCAACACTTCTGTTCATATCTTTCCAATGGCTCTATCCCATCGCAATTCTTTTTTCACTTTCAGTCTCTGTAATTATTTTTTTTTATATATATATATTTATTCTTTGAATTTATCGTTAGTTTTATTTTTTTAAATGTTCTCTTTCCCGCCACACTTCTCTTTCCGGCCACTCTGCTCTTTCCCGCCACACTTCTCTCTCCCGCCACTCTTCTCTTTCCCGCCTCTATTCTCTTTCGCTTTTCCCAATTCCTTCCAACTTAATATTATCTTGTAGGATTTCAGTAAGAGGGCGTAACGGATTCCAGTTCGACTGGGGATTGAGCGGGTAATACATATTGATCTTAACTAGAAAAGAATAATGGTTACATACACAAACAAAATAAGGATACGGCTTATTATTACATCACAATACATTAATCACACTCTAGTGCAATGAACCCAAAAGTTTCTAAGGTCAAGACTTCAGACTATATCACGTTCTAACATCGGTACTCGTACGATCGCCGAAGTTAAGCACCGTTGAGCCTGGTCAGTAACTAGATGGGTGACTGATTGAGAATGCCAGCTGTTGTACGCTTGGAAGGACAGTTGGTGTAACGGATAACGGCTCGGAATTGTAAATCGGAGAGCCGAGTTCCAATTCCAGTGGTGTTCTTCATACGAACGAATAGCCTTAGGAAACACATGAATCCAATTCTTCTCCCCCAGCTAGGGGTTAATTAGTAGGACTAGTATTCGTAAATCATTATTATCTACAAAAAAATCTTACAATCTAAAAATTATTTATGTCTTTATATCACCTGCAATAGGTTGATAAGCCATAAAAGAAACAAAATAGATCAATCAATTCCACAGCAAACTTTCAACTGGGAAGATAAAATATCACTCATCATCGCAAAAAAATATTAGTAGCTCAATGCAGTTTAATAACTAACAGAGTAAAAGATCGATCTATTCGGAATGGGCTGAATTTAAAATCCAGCATACATTAACGTTTTTTGTTTTTGTTTTTATTATATGTGCTGTCCCCTTTCAGGATCATGGCCCTCCATAACGTTCTCCCAGGACAGCTTGTCTAATTGTCATAACTCACAAATACACTCTTCCGGCATCCATTCAAACAAGTTCGTTATGTAGCTGGCTGGCTGCTTTTCCATACATCTTTTGTCTTCGATATGTCCACTGAGTGTTAAATTTTCCGAGCTCCCCATCCTCATTATTTGTCTGAGACATTTCAGTTGTCTCTTTCTAATTCGGGGTATAAGCGTCCTTTTTCCTTTCTATTTTCATTACAAAAGAAAAAAAAATCAACATCTGATATTTTTTTTTATTTTACCTTTTCGCCATATTCCAACAAACTTTTCTCATATTGCTCATCTAGCATTCTAATCTGAAGACATCTACAATAAAAAAAAAAAGAAGCGAAACAAGTAGCATATCGATTTTGTTTCAATAACTTCCCTTTTTTCCGGATATTCTTCTTCATCGAACAAATGACCATAGATTGTTAGACTTTCGAGATTTAGCGACTCGTGTATTATTGGGGGGGGGGCATTCCTAACGTGTATTATTCGTTTGTTAATTTTTCGCCTAGAACAGATCCAGTCTTCAAGAGGCGTAGGGACTGACAGTCCTGGTTTGACGATAAACTACATCCAGCAGCAAGGTCTTTGATAGGGAGGTTTTAAAGAACATGGGACCACTTCTTATTTGTTGTTGTTCCCAGATCTACCCTCACTCGGGATGGTAGCTCCTGTTAGGGCCCCATCAGGTGGTCAAAACAGGTTGATGGGATCAATATTTCAACGTAGAGCTAAACTCAATCCATAAGTCGTTTGACAAGTGAGAGAAAGCTAATAGTAAACCTCTAAACAAAAGACTATGAAAATATAAAAATACATTTTAATAGTAATAATACCATCAATATATTTTTATATAAAAAAGAACCAAGAATACTTACTTATAGTAACATGACCAACATTTTTAAAGTAAAATAACCAACTATACATTTTATCTGTAGTTGAAAAGAAGCAATTGCATTCAAAATATATTTAGTGGAAGCCATAAATTTGTGATCAGCTTATTTAGATTTCAGCATTAAAAAAACCATAGAGGTGTTGATATGACGGTAAACAACCAAACCAACCACAGTGATTGAAAAGGTTTCTTCAAACCGCTATTGATAAGGCCGACCGAAATACTGTGATCTAACTAGAAATTTTAAATTCGAATATAAAATGAACATGTGCTGTCCAGTACTATCATAATAGTATATCAGATCCGTTCGATAATGTCGAATTGGCGGCTGATTTTTTAAAAAAAAATGACCTATATTCAATTGTTAACTGGAGCAAACAATGACATGTTAATTTTAACGCCTTTAAAACGAAACTGCTTTCTATTAATCGTCTGAGAGAACTCTTTCTACCTTCAATCTGCTTGTCTAATGCTAACCTCCAGGAGAGTGACTCATTAGTTCTTCTCGGGCTAACTTCCTCTGCTGATATGAAGTGTATATATACTGAATTACTTATTAGGTCTGCTGCTAGGAATGTTGGTTCACTCTATCCGGCTAGACAATTTTTCTTTCTGTCTTAACAAGATGCCTTACATGTTTCACATACGATTTTATTTTCAAGTCTTTGTTCACTTCTCTTTGGACTGTCATAGCTGAAACTTCTCTCTCACTTGCCAAACGACTTATGAATTGAGTTGGATCTTTCTTAATTGATCTCTTTAGCTCTAAGTTGAAATAATGATCCCATCTACCTGTTGTGACCACCTGATCTAGTTTTCCTCACTACTGTTCCCTCTTTTTTTTAAAATTATTCACCGTTCTCTGGATGGTTCTTCAATGTACTTTGAAGATGGAAACCAGAGTATGAATGTAGATACCATTACTGAAGGCCTGAATGACCTTTTTTCCTCTTACCATTGCTCAATTGAGAAGACAGTGGGGCTGACACAAA